GTTCTTTAAGATTAGTTAGTCTTTCCTATGAAATATTAGAAACAGCTCTGATGTAAGAAAACAAAAAGAGACTATTTACTTGTTTCTTCAACAGCTTCCAAAATAATTACATTAACAGACGAAAAATGGTTGATTCTATTGATCTATGTGACGTGTAATAAAAAGTTTGTTAACTTCATCATTGGCGACAATTTAATTCATGCATGTACGTAAACAACAAGAAATAATTTATACTTACGACACTTTAACCCTTCCTTTTTACACGTGGCTTCGGTCACTACGAATAAACAAATGTCAATAATGTACTTACTTGTGTGTCTAAACTTGCTTGTTTTCATAATGATACATTTTTTATAACGCAAGTGTATTTTAACCAAACACTTACATTTCTCTACATTTCCAACACGAAAAAAGAAGGGAAAGATTACACGGGGAAATAAGTGTCACTGAGATCAATACTTTTAATGATTAGTACAAAAACAAACCTCCAGGTTCTTGTTTTGAGATTATTTTAACATTCAAATTGCCGAGTGGTTTTACACTATTCCACGTCATGTTAATAATTTTATATTTTTTAAGTAAACTGTGTAATTAATTATATAATTGTAGTGCTGTTAGTTTATGATATTGTACACACCGCAACCAATAGATCAGCGAACTTCCAAGCAGTTTGATGCACAAATAGATTAGAAAAACGTGTTTAACAAACACATGGATCCCATCTTTAATTCTGAGGTGAAAAGATAGTCTCGACAGCAGCCGATTTCGAGGTGTTGGTAACGTAGTTGGTATCTTGAGAAGTTCTAGGTTTGTGGTTAAGAGATTAGGGGTACGTGAGCTTTAACTACATGCGACAAGGAAATCACACCTATAACAGCTCCTATAAAAATTTAACTACATATAATTGTTGCGAATAAAAACACTGAAAACAAGCAACACTTTAGAGATATGTTGAACGTATATAATATATCGTCTTCGTTCTTGTTGTTCGTGAAACGAAAAGTATCCCAGTTAAAAGCTGTTTGATTTCTATATTTCGTTCACTACAGGCCAATGCACTCAAGTCGACACTTTTCTAATTTATCGCATATACTTGGTTCACTACAGGCCCGTGCACTCAAGTCGACACTTTTCTAATTTATCGCATATATTATGTTCACTACAGACCCGTGCACTCAAGTCGACACTTTTCTAATGTATCGCATATATTTGGTTCACTACAGGCCCGTGCACTCAAGTCGACACTTTTCTAATGTATCGCATATATTTGGTTCACTACAGGCTCGTGCACTCAAGTCGACACTTTTCTAATTTAATTGCATATATTATGTTCACTACAGACCCGTGCACTCAAGTCGACACTTTTCTAATTTATCGCATATACGTGGTTCACTACAGGCTCGTGCACTCAAGTCGACACTTTTCTAATTGAATCGCATATATTTGGTTCACTACACGCTCGAGCACTTTTCTAATTTAATCGCAATGAAGCTGGACATAATAACTAATTCTGAATAAACAAACATATACATAAATAAACAGCAAAACTAAATGAAACTTACCACATAATGTTTCATTACAAAGTCCACCGGAACCAATATCACACTGGGAACACGGTTTTCCAATTTTATATGGCGGAGTCTCTACCAAATTACCCCTGTCAGGCATGAAAAAAAAAGCAAGAAATTAATAAAACAAGTTAACCTGATATGATCAGGTGGTTAGGCGCTCAATTCGCGATGTAAGGGTCGCGGGCCCGAATCCCCGTTCCACCAATCATGCTCACCCTTTCAGTTGTGGGGAGTATAATGTGACGGTCAATCTCACTGTTCGTTGGTAAAAGAGTAGCCCAAGAGTTGGTGATGACTTCCTTCTAGTCTATCACTTCTCAATTAGGGAAGATAGCCCTCGCGTAGCTTTACGCGAAATTCAAAACAAACCAAAACTCTACCAAATTACTCCTTTCAGACATGAAAAAAACAACAACAAGTGGAAATAAGCCAGTATTTGTATTATACAAGTATAGCTCGCCAGGTATTCAGTATTACAGCAGAATCCGTAATCCGAATTAGGTGGCTACTATGTATAATGTAGATAGATAATGTGATTTTTGATTTACTGATCAGAGGTGGAATTTGATAATTACTGATCACAACTAGAATTTGATAGTTACTGATAACAACTAGAATTTGATAGTTACTGATAACAACTAGAATTTGATAGTTATTGATCACAACTAGAATTTGATAGTTACTGATCACAACTAGAATTTGATAGTTACTGATCACAACTAGAATTTGATAGTTACTGATAACAACTAGAATTTGATAGTTACTGATCACAACTAGAATTTGATAGTTACTGATCACAACTAGAATTTGATAGTTACTGATCACAACTAGAATTTGATAGTTACTGATCACAACTAGAATTTGATAGTTACTGATCACAACTGGAATTTGATAGTTACTGATCACAACTGGAATTTGATAGTTACTGATAACAACTTACTGATAACAACTAGAATTTGATAGTTACTGATAACAACTAGAATTTGATAGTTACTGATCACAACTAGAAATTGATAGTTACTGATCACAACTGGAATTTGATAGTTACTGATCACAACTGGAATTTGATAGTTACTGATCACAACTGGAATTTGATAGTTACTGATCAGAGGTGGAATTCCAAAGAAAAGAAAACGTGACGTAACTCGGTGACAAGTGACGATTCGAATGTCAGATTGGACTTCATATTTATTTTTAGTATACATATATCACTCAAGCCAAATTATTACATTCTATACCAAGCAATTATACACTCCAGGTGTTTGTTTACGTGTGCTGTTTGTGTTTTGGTAATAGTATGTGGTTTCCAAGTGTTTGTTCATGTGTGCTGTTTGTGTTTTGGTAATAGTATGTGGTTTCCAGGTGTTTGTTCATGTGTGCTGTTTGTGTTTTGGTAATAGTATGTCACGTGAACAAACACTTGAAGACCACATACTATTACCAAAACACAAACAGCACACGTGAACAAACACTTGGAAGCTACATACTATTACCAAAACACAAACAGCATACGTGAACAAACACTTGGAAGCTACATACTATTACCAAAACACAAACAGCACACGTGAACAAACACTTGGAAGCTTGCTGTTTGTGTTTTGGTAATAGTATGTAGCTTCCAAGTGTTTGTTCATGTATGCTGTTTGTGTTTTGGTAATAGTATGTAGCTTCCAAGTGTTTGTTCACGTATGCTGTTTGTGTTTTGGTATTGCACTCAGCTATCATTTTACTATATCCGTCTGTTTTGAACGGTCGTAAGACACTTGTTTTCATTGAATTTGGTAGTAGTTTATCTAATGTGTTTTTGAATTTAAGTCAGTCGGCTTTATTAAAGTTATAATTTAGATATTTGATTGGTTTATTTTGTTGGGGATTAGATCGAAAGAAATGTATAATACTACAACAACTACTAAATTCAAATTCCACTGCAGCTGAATATAGCAGGTGGCGCTTTTTATTATATCAGAAATAAACAATAAATACTGATGACTTACTACAGTTCAATTACAGTAGCGCATACCTAAGACTTTTGAAAGTGTTTTAATATTTTTTCTCTCCAAAATGGAATGAAAGCCACTATCATACCTTGGACTATAATGGCAAACAACGTAGTAACTGCTGTCACAACGAGCGATGCCACATCCGAGTCGTCGGCTTTGTGCCCAAACCATCTGAAAAAAGTAAATAAATCAACTGACCAGGTAAAGAAAGTACTATACTAGAAAGCTTTAAAATATATGAGGAAACAATTACTACCAGTTTCGGTACTAGGCCTAAATTTGAGAAGATATCTGTCATTTGATACCAAGCAAAATATAGCAGCAACGAAATAGGGCTAATCAAGAGAAACATTCGGAAGGTATACGGAAAATCAGCTCGCTTTTTTCACTGACGTAGGTAAGTGTAAACCGGTTGTGACATTAAATTATTTTGTTTAATGAAGCTTTTAGTGTTTTATTATTGCGAAGTTTTTCAAAGGAGGACCAAACAATCTGAATCCTTTTCTAAGTTGAAAATCAGAAAAGGTTTGACATTTGTAATTAATATCAGTTAAACTACGAATGTTTTTTTCCGCATTCCTAGTAAATTTTCATTCCGTTCCTAACAAATTAAAAGGAATGAGGGGAAAACCTGAAGTTTACGTAATCTCTATCAAGATAAATTAAAAACTAACAATTATAATTTACGTGATTTTTATCACATATCAGGGCCTGATGGGTTTCCAATTCTTCGCCACCTATCGGCGTTTAAACAGTAACATTAGATGTTGTTTGTTTACTATTGATTTTAGCCTATTTTGCTGATCTCACCTGAGTGTAGTGACCACATTGTTTTTCAGGAATACATTCAACTTTATGTATATCGTAGAAATTGTATTCTTCGTACCATAGATGAACAGCTCGAACGCCCTCCTTGTCCCATCCCATGTATAAGTTTTGCCCCGCAAAGTCTGACCCATCAACAAAGCCGTGTTCGAAGTTACATAATTTTGCCCAGGCCGTAGCATCCAGAGCTAACTTGTCATTCCATTCCTGAAACAAGATATACAAAATACGGATTTTATTAAGGCAATCGGGCTTTATTTACTTTGGAAGTTTTACCACAAAATATTTACTTTAAATTTTCAATAGTAAACAAACTTTGTTTATAATAAATGTATACGTAACAAACAATATTATCACTTTCCTAAAGAAAGTGTACACAAACAATATTAGCGTTTGTCTGAATAAAGGAACATAGCATTACACAAACAATATTAGCCTTTGTCTGAATAAAGAAACATTGCATTACACAAACAATATTAGCGTTTGTCTGAATAAAGGAACATAGCTTACACAAACAATATTAGCGTTTGTCTGAATAAAGGAACATAGCTTTACACAAACAATATTAGCGTTTGTCTGAATAAAGGAACATAGCTTTACACAAACAATATTAGCGTTTGTCTGAATAAAGAAACATAGCTATACACAAACAATATTATGGTCGAAGTTCGTGTTCTTTCAATACAATTTCATGGTTGATGGTGTAGTGGCTAAACTAAGTAACAGATGTATTTGTAGGTTCATGGTAAGATATTCTAGCATCCTAAATTGGAATTCTTCCGGAGATTGGAGGATGACATAACATTCAGACAGTGGTTGGTATTACTACTGGTATTGAAGGTTTTAGTGTTACAGGTAATACTACTGGTATTGTAGGTTTTAGTGTAACAGGTAATACTACTGGTATTGTAGGTTTTAGTGTTACATGTAATATTACTGGCATTGTAGGTTTTAGTGTTACATGTAATATTACTGGTATTGAAGGTTTTAGTGTTACAGGTAATACTACTGGTATTGTAGGTTTTAGTGTAACAGGTAATACTACTGGTATTATAGGTTTTTGTGTTACAGGTAATACTACTCGTATTGTAGGTTTTAGTGTTACATGTAATATTACTGGTATTGTAGGTTTTAGTGATACAGGTAATATTACTTGTATTGTAGGTTTTAGTGTTACTGGTAATACTACTGGTAATGTAGGTTTTAGTGTTACAGGTAATACTACTGGTATTGTAGGTTTCAGTGCT